TGGCCATCAATGTCTCCAGACCAAAACCCTATAGAAAACGTTTGAAGGTTAATGAAAATTAATATACAAAAAAAAAATTCGATCAATTAGAGGGTTAAAGGGAGAACTTACAAAAGAATAGAACTGATTATCACCTGTACTTGCCGCAAATTTGGTAGCTAGCATGAAAAGGCATACAGCTGCACTTATAGAGTCAGATGATGACTACATAATGTATTAATTTTAATTAGTTGGTTATGTATTTTTTAAATAAAAAAAAAATTTTGAATTTACTTACTTGTAACCAGAGTTATAGGTGGTCAGATACTTATGACTGCTACTGTAATAAAAAAAATAGCAAAATTTCATCAAAATTTATATTTTACAAATAAAATCCTCTATTGTTTATGAATGATCATGTTATAAACGAAGAGAAATATGATAATAATATTATAGAAAAAGAAAAATGGTGGCCAATAGATTGTGATGATAAAAGAGGTTGTGATGATGAGAAAGATTATTATGATGAAAGAGGTTATAATAATGAAAGAGATCGTGATGATGAAGGAGATCATAATAATGAAAGAGGTCATAATATTAAAAGAGATTGTGATGATGAAAGAAATCGTGATGATTAGGAAAATTATTATAATAAAAGAGATCGTGATAATGAAAGAGATCATGATGATAAAAGTTCAGTTGAAAGTGATGAAGATTTTTGTGGCATGAGTTTAGCTGATGCATATGAGGATTTAAATAATAAAAGTAAGCAAAATCAGGCTTTATAGCCAAGTGAAATATACAGTAGCTCACAAAAGTAATGCAACTACTAAACACAAAACTTTAAATTAATGTAACTTTTTATTTATAAATTATATCAAAGTAAAAAAAAAGTTATGATATTCTTCGAATCAAAATTTATTAAAAAATATTTTTTTTTCTGATTTAAGTCACGTGAAAAAAATCTACACTGTAATTTTTAAGTTTTTAGCGTTGCATTATTTATGTGACTTTTAGCGATCAATATTTAACCAGTTAGGTTTAAACTGAAAACTATAACAAATTCTTGCACTAACACGTTTATTTATTAAATTACATCTGTTTACCACCTTGTATACCCCTTGGCCTTTATTATATTATTTATCCTTTCTAGCATAAACTTGATTAATTTATACATGCATCGACCTCAATCCTGAACCAAACATCTTGTAATTTTTCCTACAGATCTTCCCTTCCTGTAATTCGTTCTGAAAGGTGTCTTAAACGACGTTTAGCTTCGTTCTAAAGATGCTTTATAGGATTTAAGTCTGGAGATTGTGCAGGCCAGTCAAGTATAATCACTTTATTATCAGAAAGTCAGTCCTTAGTAAGATTTGCCATATGTTTGGGATTGTTATTATGTTGAAAAATTATATCATTAACACTTAATCTCCAATCTGAAATAGAATCCATAAGATTTTCTTCAAGTATTTGCTGATAAAGTTTCCCATTTAAGCTGCCATTAATTATATAAAGGTTGCCAATACCTTTTGCTGAAAAGCATCCCTAAACTATTATATTACCTCTACCAAATTTTACTGTTGGTTTGACATAAGGACTTCTTAATGGTTCCCCTGATTTCTTCCAACAGTACTGGCATCCATCCAAACCAAAAAGCATGAACTTACTTTTGTCAGACCAGATTACCTTCTTCCAATCTTTCACAGACCAATTTTGATATTTTTTTGCAAAATTCAAGTGACGTTTATAGTGTGTTTTTTTAAGGTAAGGCTTTTTTTTTAATTTTTGATGCTAAACCATTTCTTCAAAGTGTTCTGCGTATGGTTTCAGCCAAAATTTGGATATTATCATAGTTTTGAGGTCACCTTGTATAGTAACTGCTATAGAACATTCATTAGAAGTAACAAGTAAGAGAATTTTACGTTCAGTATGAATGAAAATGATTCAGAAACAACTTGGTTTTTTTTATTTTTAAAACCACCTGTCTCTTCTTTACGTTGACGAATTCTTGTAACTGTAGATTTATAAACACCTTCTTTAGCTGCAATGATATTAGCTTAATAGCCTTCTTCATAAAGAGTAAAAATTCTTGCCTGTTTTTCTAAGGATAATTGTGACATATTGAAAATTTTTTTTATAGTAAACAAAAAGGCTGGGGATTTGTTTCTTTATAATTACATAATATTATGTAACTTATTGCTTTTTTGATTTTAATCTAGTCAAAAATGGATCGACTCAAAGTCACATAAATAATGCAATGTCTAAAATAGTAATATTGCAGTTTAGCTGCAGATTATATGATTAAATAGGAATTTTAATTACAAATTTATATGAATTTTGATTCAGAGAACTCAATAAAATTTATTTTATTTGGATATAATTTATGAATAAAAAAGTTACATTAATTTAAAGTTTTATGTTTAGCGGTTGTATTACTTTTGTGAGCCACTGTTTATGATAGCTATAATACAGCATCGTCTTTCAGATATAGCTGGTGATTCTATGTTACATATAATTAAAAAATATTGTATTGAACCCTTTCTTAGCTCTACTTAGAAAGGTAGAATATATATAGATCAAATGAATATTAAAAATTTAAATTTTAGGATGAAAACTTTACTTGAATTTGAAGAAGAAACATATCAATTACAATATCAATTAATATTTAATGCAATTAAAAGTATTATTTCGAAATTTTAATTTAAGTAAACATTTTTATTTGGTTATAATGAATAATGGGAACTTGGTAAAGTAAGTTATAATTTTATTTTTATATATACTAACTTAAAATCAACAATATTAAATTAATAATATCTTTTTTATAAGAATGAAAATTTAGTGCGCATTTATTCTGAACAGAATACTGCAAATTGGTGGCATGAAAGACAAAGCTATTTTAGCAAAGTTTTAGCAGTTATGATTTATACTGATGACACAATACTTGATGCTTATAGCTAAAAATCAGAATATTCTATTTTTAACGTTAGGTAATATATCAAATTAGCCTTACAATTTACCTGATACAAAGGTTATTATTAGTTTTTTACTACATTTGATTACTCGAGATAATAAACTTAAAGCTTCTAAAGAATTTAAAAATATGAAAAAAGATTTAGAATAATGTACTTTAAAATATCTATTAAGACTACTTCTTCAAGAAGATGGCATTTATTTGACAATAAATGGTATTATTAAATATTTCACTTCATATTTATCTACTATACTTGTAGATATATCAGAAGCGCAAAGTATTTGTTATACATATAAATCTTATTATACATGTTACCCTTGTTACAAGTATCTTATATCAGGTAATCAATTAGATAATATAAGTATTGAACAAGATTCTATTATTTTGCGTAATCATAATAATATGCATAATGCTTTTCTTTCTAATAATACTGCTGAATATTCCATTTATGATTACAAAAATGTTTTTTGAAAATTCTAATATATTTAATAATTAAATTTATTTTTTATATAAGAATTAATTTACTAACATTTAACTATTTTATTTAGGATGATAAATATTTAATGCAACAGCTTTAGATTATATGCATATACAAGAAATTGGTTTATTCTATATATGATTGATTTTACAAGAAAGTTAATTATACGTCAATCTGGTAGTCAATTTATTGCATAAATGGATATTTGTTTAGCCACAATTACACCATTTAATGACTTAAGAATATTAAAAGAGTATATTAACAGGGTATAAAATTTACAGGATCTGAGATACGTGATATGATAAAAATTATTGTATTTGTATTAGATAAATTTTATACAACAGATGATAAGATTAAAAAAAATAATAATAAGCAATACTTTTTATTAATTGTGAAAAAATAATTCAATATTTTATAAAATATATTAAAATGTATATGATATCAAGAAAAGAAAATTTTAATGAAGATGAATTAAATAATTTTGAAGTAAGTATTTAAATTTTATATTTATTAACATTTGTATATTATTTAATTATTAACATATATTATTTATTATTATAGGAAGAAATTATTAAAATGGTCAAAAGATTTCGTCAAGTTATTTAAACTATATTCATAAAATGAATTTCATTTACCAAAGCTTCATATGTGGTGTTATCACACAATTTCTACTATCAGATACTATGGTTCACTTAACAGACTAATCACTGAAACATATGAAATATTGCACAAAAATTAGGTAAAAATTCATATAGAATATCTAATAAAAAGATGCATTTAGTCAAATAATTAAAACTGTAAGTTTATTTCATAATTTTTATTAATTTAATTATCTAATTTCTTATATTAATTAATTTAATGTATTTAGATTTGACGGCAAATAATTACAACTGATTTAACAAAAATTCAACTATTTTAAAATTGGATTGTATGTGATCTTTATTATAGAAACTTTCTATTAATGAATTAGATACTTTTATAGAAAAATTAAAATGTAAAAAAAATGTCAACAATTTATACATTAAGGGTATGCAAAATTTGATTGGTTGCTTAAATATCTTTTTAGATAAAAATCAAATATTTCTGAAAATAGTGATATTTATTTAAAAATTTATGTGTCTGAAATATTACAAAATGGAGAAATTGTATATGCTGTTAATAAATTTTATAGACGTCTAAGATTTAGTGATATTGCTATTGTAATAGAAAATGCAGATTATTTAACAGATAATGGAATATGCTATGGAAAAGTAAATATGTATATTTATTTTATTCACTATTATAATAATATTGATTACTAATTGTAAATTATTTAATTTAGGTTTTAATGTTAGCTGAAATCTTATTTTCATCTTTTAATAATCCAAAATTTCCAATTGTCTTAATACATTAGTATGATTATTATTCTAAGCGATATTCTACAAAATATCAATGTCCTTATATGAAATTAGCGAAGCAATATGATATAATACCTTTTGATTCTATTGTGAGTTTAATACATATGGTAAAGAGATTTAATTATGAAAATGAATTCTTTGTAAACAAATTTCAATTTTAAATAATCCAATTAATTATAGTATAATACAAGTAATTATAATAATTAAATGTTGATATTAAATGCTAAATATTGTTAATAAAGCTAATGTAAATTTTTATAAAATGAATTTTTTAAAGATTTAAATTTAAGAATTATTTAGGGATTTTTTATATAAGAATCTTTAAAGATCTGTAATTTATAGATTTTTTAAGGATATTTTAATAAATTATAAAGATTTTTAAAGAACCCATAAAATTAGAAATTCTTAAAGATTCTGAAGCAATTTATGGAATTTTTAAGGATCTGCATTCTAAAAAAATTACTAATATTATCTACAACTAAAAATAATGAACTGTAAATTTATTAATTATTATTTTTATAAATATTAGTATGATAATAAAATATATTTTGATGTAGAATATTATATAATTTAAATCAAGAACTTTCTATAATAAAAAATAGTATTTAAGATCTAACAATAAAATCAATAGTAGCATTTATGCAATCTTAACTCTTATTGTATTAAATTTATAAATATAAATTTTTAATAAAATGAAGTCATAATTATTATTTTATTAAAAATTATATTTATATTTTTAAGATATATAATTAATTAGAAATCACTTTGATATTTTAAGAATATATTTTTTTACACAAATTATAGATTATTGCTACAATTTTATTCATATTATTATATAGTTTATAAATATATTCCTAAATAGTAAAAATAGTTTTTTTTCTTTATTCTTATTAATATTAAGTATATTTATGCTATCTTTCTTTTATTGTTCAGAAATACACTGACTGAAATAGTCCAAATCAGCTAAAAATCAGATAGCTGATTTTAAGCTGATTTTGATACTATTTATAGCTGATTTGTCATGTTTTCTAATCAGCATAAACAGGTGCCGATTGATGCCAATTGATCCCAATTAGGCATGACCATTCAGTATCAATTTAGAATTTAAATTCAACCATAAATCAGCCTAAAATTAGTCTCAATTCAGCAACAATTCAGATGCTAATAGATATCGATTGATTTCAATTGGACATAGCCATTCAGAACTTAAATTCAACCATAAATCAGTCTAAAATTAGCCTCAATTTAGTATCAATTTAGCAACAATTCAGATATTGATTGATGCTGATCAACTCCAATCAGACAAGCAATTCAACCATAAATCAGCCTAAAATTAGCCTTAATTTAGTTAAAGTTCAGAATCATCAAATAAACAGATTCATCAGATAAATCTAATTTTTAATTTAAGTATAGATTAGATAAATCTGACTTCAATTTGATTATTAGTCAAATATATATCGCCAGTTAAATTTTAAATTTTTTTTTTAATTTATTAAAATTATATAAGATTTAATATATAAATTATTAACGAGATTATTAATATAATTAAATATTATTAGTTGGCTACATTATTATCATATATATTACGCTTGAGAAATAAGATTTTTTCAAAGGTATTAAAACTCAATTGAGTTCTTTTATTGTTATAATTAAACCAGTATGAGAGAAAAGGCATTCACTGGATGTAAAAGTGGCAAAAATGCCCAAATATTTTCTGATCAAATTTGCTAATTTAGGTAAATAATTTTATTAATGCACCACTATTTAAAAGGATCTTCTTCAATTTCAATTTCATCTATTTTTAAATAATTTTTTATTTTATCTTGCATAACTGATTTGCATTGTACTTGTAATCCACAACGCATCATATCTTTATATTTTTGAATAGGATTATCAGTATGGAAATTGAACTGTGTGGTGGTTAAATCTATTAAAGTAGTAGATTCAGATTTATGAGTTTGCAGTAATTCATTATAAAGAATTTACAATTTATTTTCAGTATTAATTCTTTAATTATGATTAACAAATGTGTGCTTCTTATATCGTAAATCTAACAATGCTAATAAAATAATTTTATCAGCAGGAATATTATAATATCATTTTATTATAATATATAAAGCATTCTTGACTTTATCTACAAGACTATCTGTATCTTAAGAAAAATTAATATTGATTTTCTTTTTTCTTTGTATATGACTATTATTTAAATTATTAGTCATTTCTTCAAGTAGCTCTTCATTACCTTCTGGAATAATATCATCAAATACAGTTTCAAACTCATCTAAATCAATATTAAGCTTAGTGATATTTGTTGGCTTTAAATTTTTTATGATAATCTATGTGGTTGGATACATAAATCCAAAAGTAGAATATTTACTTCCATCTAACTATTCAGTTGCTACTACAAACTGCCTAAGTATTTCTATTAATTCTTCTATAGCTTTAAATTCATTATCTTTTAACATAATTTTATTAAGTCATCTAGATCTTTTTTGAGTTATGTATCAGGATTTCATGTAATAGCTAATGTGATTGTACTATTAAAATAAAAGGTTTGATTTGTAATAATCTTTGCCATGCAAGAAATAAAGAATTCTCCCTTGTTTTCACATCTGCAATAGCATGAAGATATTTTGCAGTATCTTTAATAATACAATTATCATCTTCGTATAATACATGTTGAGCTGTTTCAAGTTGTTCAAATTGCTTTGGACTCATGAAAAAATTAATCAATTGTTTAGCATAAGCAATTAAAACTTGTGTTAGTAAGAGTCCTTTTTCTATTACTAATTGAAGCATATATGTAGTACAGGAGAGCCTGTGAATTGAATTAAGCAATTTACAAGCCTTTATTATGTTGAAAGCATTATCTGTTATAATGCAAAAAACAGATTCTTTAATATTTCATTCTTCAATAATCTAATTTAAAATATCTATAATGCTCTCTCTAGTATGTGAATATTTAACATAACAAATAGTTAACATAGCTTCTTTTAATTCAAAATTATTGGTAATCCAATAATATATAATACTTAAGAATCCATATCGGTTTCTTGCAGTTCATAAATCTAATGTAAGTGAACACTATGTTATATTTTTGACTAATAATAACTTGAGTAATCAAAGCTTTTAGATGCTTATCACATGGAATTACAAAAGAAGAATTTAATAATTCAATTAATCTTCAGAATTTTTTGCTTTTTAATATATGAAAAGGCTGTGTATCTTCAACAATAAATTTCATTAATGCTTACTCAATTGCTTCTTGTGTATTTATATCTAGAGATGATATTTGTGACTCATTTTCTATGAAAATTTTATTATAAAATTGTGTAGATTTAGTTATATTATATGCAGCTATAAGATGCGTACTAGCATTTAAAGTTGATGATCCTTTTCCCTGACAAATATGATTGCAATCAATCCTATCAACATTGATTTTACAAGTAAAAATTATGTAGTTTTCATTTTTTGAATGCTTCCTCCACTGTCATATTTAACTGCTAAGATTTTTTAGATTATTAAACCTTAAAATTATTAAAACAGTTTTTTTAGAATTTTATCAGAAGTAGAAGTTTCATTTTTATCTCTAGATATTTTTTTTCTCTCTATCATCTTCAAATATCTCATTTATATTATTTTGATAATTTTTCTCAGTTAACGTACTTTCATTAGTTTCATAATTTTTCTTTTTAATCATTTTTTATTTTTTTTAAAAATAACAGAAGAATTGAAAGAAAACAATGAAAATAAAAGTTAAATTAAACTATTTGATTATTTATAGTTTATCCATCTGAATATCAACGAATATCAATGTGATTTTAAGTATCAATCTGAATCTAAAATTATATATCTGATAATCATTCTAAATTCAAAATTAATTCAACAATAATTTAGACACTGATCGATGCCGATCAACTCCAATTAGACAAGCAATTCAACTATAAATCAGCTAAAAATTGGCCTCAATTCAGTATCAATTCAGCAATAATTCAGATGTCAATCAATATCAATCAACTCAATTAGACAAGCAATTCAGAATCAATAATCAGTACATTTTATTTATTAAATTTATTAAATATTAAAATTTTATTAATAATAAAAACCTAATATAAATTTGTAAAAATATAAAAATATAACAAAAAAAATATCACTAAAACCTACTGATTAATTTCCTATTAAAAATATAATAATAAAATAATAAAATATGATCCATTTCTTTCCAAAATTCTCTTAAATTATTCTAAATATAGATAAATAAATAATATATAATAAAATCGTCCAAAAATATAAAAATAATAAATATAAAATGTAAAAAATAGAAAAATCAATCTAAACTCGCCCAAAAAATATAAAAAATAATAAAATTGACACATTTTCATTCCAAATCGTCTGAAAAAAAAATGTAAAAAATAATAAAATCAACCTATTCCTACCTTAAATCACCTGAAAAAAACATAAAAATAATTATTAAAATTAACCTATTTCCACTCCAAATCGCCCAAAAAAAATAACATAAAAAAATAATAAAATCAATCCATTCCTACCTAAATCACCTGAAAAAAAATATAAAGATAATAAAAAATTGACTTATTCTCCAAATTGCCCAAAAAAAAAATGTAAAAAATAATTAATAAAATCAACTTGCTTCTATTCCAAATTGCCTGAAAATTTATTATTCACCATCGTCTATTATAGGATCATCTTCACTTTTTTTAATAGCGGATGAAACCCCCTTCGACTTCAGTATATTTTTCAGTTTTAGTTACATATTCTTCTGCAGTTGTAACTTCTGCTTTAATCTAGTATTATAGATTATATTAGGTTGTACTTTATATAATTACTTTGAAGCATTGTAGGAATGTGATCAGTCATAATATTGCACATTATTATTATATTTTCTCTTTCGTTGAATTTGAGATGATAATATTGCAGCAGCATAAGGATCAAGTACTTTTCTCAGTAAATTTTTTAGCTAAAAGAAGAAAATAAGAAAGAATATTAGTGGAATATACTAAATAAATTTGAAATATGTTAAATTAGATAAAGAAAATAATAAATCTTAGCTGATCGTTAAGAATAGTCATATACAGCGATAACAGATCTTTGATAATTTTCTTCATCTGTTTCGCTGATTTCTGGTAAATAATATAGGTGATTACTGAGAATTCAGAGTAAAGGTCACCTTTCATATTTCACAATTTGTTAGTCATTTTTTTTAAACAAATACTTTATGGCCTTTACTCGCTGTGTTATTTTCTAATAAATAATAAATGATATTAAATTATTGATTCAAATAGACCTAAATTCAGAATATATTCTATTTGCTTACTTCATGTACTCGATTATTATTATGAATTCGTCATAGTTCTGAAAGACCCTTTCCACTTTTCTTAATTCTTCGAGCTAACTGATGTGACTTATAGAAGGCTTTTAGCCAGTTTGTAAGTTAATCAATAGAAGGCTAAAAATTTAGAACTAAGGACTTTCGTAATTTCAGAATCAGACTATGATGTAATGTGATATTTTTCTTACTATTGAAAGGTTTATTATAGTTTAAATCATCCTTTGAGCTGATAGTTTTCAAAACTGCCTTCATTTTGGCCTAAATACGAAAAGCAGAAAAAAAATCAGCTAAAAATTTAAATTATTTAGACATAAATACAAATATACCTTAGCTTCTTTTACATTAGCCTCTTCTGTTGTTGAATTATTGTTATCCTCAGAATTATTTTGCATCGATTTTAATTTATCATTAATACAATACACTGGTTTTTTTCCTTTGATTTTGACGATGATTTTCTAATTTTTCTTCATTTTGCAGGAGGACTAGCATTGGACTGCTTTAATAATCTAGACAGGCATAATCTCTTAAATCAGTTAAGTCTTAAATATTAAAAAAGAAAAATTAGTTATTGTAAATATAGAATATTAATATATAAATTTTTACCTTTTCTGTAAATCTTCATTTTTCTTGCTAAATTCCTCATTCCCTCAAAAGATCAGAATTTTGTCACAAATATATTGTTAATTATAAAATAATAAATGGAAATAAATCAAAAATAATATACCTGATTCTAAATTATTCGAATTATTGAAAATCTCAAATTCAGCTGCAGCTGAAGTACTTGCTATTAGTTATCATTGAAATTTTGATGAGAGCTGAATTTCCCCATATTGTTTTTGCATTTTTTTTAAATCTATATCTATAATTTGAAAAGTTATTTAGTATTAATATAAATAGTATTATATTATAACTAACTTATGATCTAAAACAATCAGTTCATTCTCAGATGATATTGTATAGATGCGTTTTTGTCTTTTTTCTATTATAGAAAAGCAAAAAAATCAGTTATTGTTTGAAAAATTGACTGGTTGATTGATAAAATTCAACTTACCATAGAGCACTGACTAAACTACCCCTGTGTAAACTGCTCCTAGAGATTTGGGCCAAAATTTTGTAAGAAACTCAGGTATTTTATATGGTATTTTTTTTGAAATAAGTAATAGACGATTTTATTGATTTTTATTTATTAATTTATAAATGAATTTTTATTATAATTACTGTATTAGAATTATAAAAGAATA